AAAAATAAAAAAAAAAAAAAAAAAAAGGTAAAATTATTTTAAAGTAGATTTGCAGATTTAGCCAAAGTATGGTCTAGTTTGGGATGCATTGTTGGTTTGTAGTTACTGATAAACTTTTATTAATACCTATTTTTAATATAATACATTGAATATCGATTAAACAAATAATCAAAATTCTGATATTTTTGTAGGATTTTATTTGATTAAATTAAGTTATATGTGCTAGCCAGATCAAAATGCTGGTTTGTAGTTATTGTTAAACTTATTTTATATAAATTAAATGTTAAATGTTTATTATTATTAATATTATTATTCAATATTCATATTATTATTAATAATATAAATTAAATTTATAATAAAATGAATACATTTTTAATTCATTCATTTTTATTAATTATTTTTTGTAAAGTTTTTTATAATAATTTTATTTGTTATTATTTAATCAATTTTTACTATAGTAATAGTAATAGCAAAATCTTTTTTTTTTTTTTTGGGACACTGTACAAATTTACTGGGGATCCATATTAGTGTTGCTATATATCATTCAACATTATAACAAATAATAGCATCTGTCTTTTGGTTCTGTTGGCAGACAGAAAAATCTCAGTCGCCCTCCTCTAAATCAGGCAGTTCTTCTCCCTCTCACCATGACACTCTCACCCCTGGTCCACCTGGCCCACCCGGGCCCAGCACTTCCTGTTTACGCCTGGTCAACAAACCTGTCTCCTCTGCGGACCCTCTGGGTAAAATGTTGTCTGTTTGCGTTTACAGCGAACACATGCTACAGTTCAATGAAAATAATTGTTTTATTGTGTGTCCTGTAGCTCTGCGGAGTCCCATGACCATGACGCCCGGTTCTTACCCAGCTCACTTCGGGGTGGTGTCCCACGCTGGGCTTAACGGAGAGCTGGCCAGCCCGGGTGGGTTCGGAGGCTCACTCACCCTCTCGCCCCAAATCAGTGCTGCAGCCAGTGCCTACACACGCAGCCCTATGGTAACTGTGTTTCTGAATCTCTTACAATTAACAGAAGTGTACGCAAAAACATTTTGATGCTTGAATACTCCCCTCCACAGGTAGCGTATGAATCTCGTTCACATCTTAGGCCATCAGGGCTGTCCTCCTCTCTGCCTGGCTCCACTGGTGGCAAGCCGTGAGTTTCTCCTCATTCTTTTACCTCCCTTGGTTTTTGGATGGAGCTGTACAGCGATGGCCAGTGTATAGACTGTTGGTCCAAATTAGTGATTTTGTCTGCCGCACTTGTAATACAATTCCCTCTCAAGTGCCCCGCTGACAGCTAAGGCGAGAAAACCACTTGAATTCAGGCAAACATCCTTAAGATGGCAAATTATTGCTGCACCCACTGACGCATTCACAAACAAGCTAATTTTTCATAATTATGTTGTCAAACTGCTTCAGTGCTTAAGGTTTGAATCAGCTCCTATTCTTATTTTAAACAAGTCCTTTTACCATTTAACTTTTGTCCTTCAAGTCCACTTATAATCTTAGTCATGGTTTATTGCACCAAAATCAGTCGTAATTTAGTTTTTCATGACCATTTTCCACCCTCTATCTGACCCTTAGAATTAAACACTAAAAAGGTTTGTCAATACAATAAAAGTCAGTGGGGTCCATTTATTTTCATTGTACTGATAAAAAAATTCTTCAAACTGTCTTTTATGTTCAGCAGAAGAAAGACAGTCAAGCTTCCCATTTTTGCATTCACTATCTATCACTTTAACGTCCACCTTATTCCTGCCCCCAGAGCTTACTCGTTCCATGTGAGTGCAGATGGTCAAATGCAGCCGGTGCCCTTCCCTCCTGATGCCCTCCTCGGCCCTGGCATCCCTCGTCACGCCCGTCAGATCCACACCCTCAGTCATGGAGAGGTGGTATGCGCGGTCACCATCAGCACTTCCACACGTCATGTCTACACTGGCGGGAAAGGCTGCGTCAAAGTGTGGGACATCAGCCAACCGGGCAGCAAGAGCCCGATGGCCCAACTGGACTGTTTGGTGAGATCTGCGTCATGTTAAACTCTACTTGTAGTTGGTATTCTTCATCCTGGTTGGACTAAATCAATGTCTACCCTTTTATTCAATCAGAATCGAGACAACTACATCCGTTCATGTAAGATTCTCCCAGATGGAAGGACTTTGTTAGTTGGGGGAGAGGCCAGCACGCTGTCCATCTGGGATTTGGCCACGCCCACTCCACGAATCAAGGCCGAATTGACGTCCTCTGCTCCGGCCTGCTATGCTCTGGCCATCAGTCCAGACAACAAGGTCTGCTTCTCCTGCTGCAGTGACGGAAACATTGTGGTCTGGGACCTGCACAACCAGACGCTTGTCAGGTATTTTCAGACTCCTGCTGGTGAGATAGACCATGTTCTTCATCCTGAAGTCATGTGATGTCCTTGTGTCGCCCTCTATAGGCAGTTCCAAGGTCACACAGATGGAGCCAGCTGTATCGATATTTCCAATGACGGGACCAAACTGTGGACGGGGGGTCTGGACAATACAGTGCGCTGCTGGGACCTGACAGAGGGCCGACAGCTGCAGCAACATGACTTCACCTCACAGGTACTGCAGCTCAGAAGGAACACAGGATATATATATATATTTAAAGAACTAAAACATCTTGCTCAAAACACCACTGTGGAGTCATTAATAATAAAATGGAAACATTTAGTGGCAACGTAAATTCAGTCATCGTGCCTTTATATTCCAAATTTTCGAACTTTTATGGACTAAAGGTACTTGGTGTCCATTTTTCTGTCTGCAGGCATATTTTTATGTGTTGGACCTTTTATAGAAGTTTTTTTATGTGCGTGCAGATCTTTTCTCTGGGTTATTGTCCTACGGGCGAGTGGCTTGCAGTGGGTATGGAGAGCAGTAATGTGGAAGTGCTGCACGTCTCCAAACCAGACAAATACCAGCTGCACCTTCACGAAAGCTGCGTTCTCTCACTCAAGTTTGCCTACTGCGGTACGAGTCATTTGTATAGTGCCACTCTTTGAAACTGCTCCGTGCTGCCCATGTATTCCTATGGGCCTTCATTATTTATGGTTATTTAAAATAAATGCTATTAGATGGCACAAGATATGATTTAATTTTCTTTGTATTTCAGGGAAGTGGTTTGTAAGCACGGGAAAGGACAATCTGCTCAATGCATGGAGGACGCCATATGGAGCCAGTATTTTCCAGGTTTGTTCCAAACCCATGTGACTTTCTTTCTTCCTTAGAGATGTCTTTTGATCTCCTAAACCTTTAAATGCTGCTACACTATTAACATATCAGAATAATAGAGCAGCTGTACACAGACAGGAAATAGCGATGGAGAAAGAACAAAGCTTATTTTTCAAATGAGACCTTTGTTGTTTCAGATTCGAAAATCATTGCATGCACCTTTTGTGACAGTGAGATTTAGCTGGATCTCATCATTATTTTGCGAATATGTCTCATTTTGTCTCTCACTCTCTCCAGTCAAAGGAGTCCTCGTCCGTCCTGAGCTGTGATGTTTCCCCAGATGACAAGTATATTGTAACTGGTTCTGGGGATAAGAAAGCCACAGTGTATGAGGTGGTGTACTGAACACAAAGATGGACGGATGGATGAACAAAGAGCGCCAAGCATGAAACAATCATGGATGGCATGGCGGGCAACCATAGCTCTTCTATTTGCGGTCCTTATCTAGTCACAACCATTTGAGAGATAGAAGGAGGCTTTGTTCAGAATTGCATACTACCATACTATTCATACTTTTATGCAGAATGTATACGGAGCACAGTATGAACATTTTCTTTATACATAAAATACCCAGATGACGTACTAACAGAGCTGGGTAGTAACGGATTACATGTAATCTGGATTACGTAATCAGATTCCAAAAAGTAAGTACTCATAATTAGATTATATTACATTTTAAAATGCTTATAATCAGGATTACATGATTACATAATATTTACACAATGGCAGCAAATTATACATCATTTAGCGATTTTTCCTCTTTTAAAATTTCTTAAACAGTAGTCAGAATACATTACTAAAATAAGTAACCTAGATTATGTTATTAACTACAATTTTCATTGTAATCTGTAATCAGTAACAAACAACAATTTGTAAGTAATCTACCTAGCACTGCATGCAAATTTTTGCCAAAATGTCCTGTATAAAATACTATGTGGGATTCTTTAAGAAAAAATTTGTTGCTACAGCTGTAACTTAATTTTACAATACTTGAATTTTACAATAATGGAAGAATTGTTAGCAACATATTTTTGTGACATTACTGGACAACAACATTGGACTAAAAATGTAAATGAACAAAGTGGACAGCGCTCACTAAATTAAATGTGCAACAATGTAGCATATTACTATATATTTTAACATTCTTTTGTTCTTATGCGTTTAGATATTTTTTAAATAGTATGTAGTACACAGTATATTCTGTGAAATATGCAGTATGCTAGTATTCCATTATGAACATAGCGAGTAAGTGGGGAGGAGATAATTAAATGCTAAAAGAGGAAGCCCTACAGACAGCAGGTATTCAGGGAGCTTCTACTTACAGAAACACCAAAACCAGACAATCATTTCATTAGTCGCAAACTCCCTCCATAAAGAGAGCACAACATCTTCCCTCCAATGAGAAAAGACAGTTTTTGAGGCTCCTGGCTCACGCTGGAGCATCTCTGGATGAACACGATATGGGTGTACAAACAATTCTTAACTCGCCTATCCAACCCAATTAGACATTCATGTGGCAAATCCCAGTTGAATTCTCCAACCTGCATTTAATTTCCTCCTTCCACAAGTCGGTGTCTAATGAGGAGCAAGGGTAAATCATGTAGGATTCGTGTGGCAAATATTCACAACCACGACCGTTATTCGTTTTAATTCCTGTGGATTACCGTATGGTATGATGTTGTTCTCATTTGTGGTTTAATGCTCATTTTCATGTCATTAATTATCTTTTAGCTTTGCATGGGGAAATCTTTTCATGATTGTTCTACTTCAGTAAGATGATGCAAATACCTAAATATTCAAAACTGGTATATGGTAAGACATCAAAAATTGTAAGAATTGTTCCAATTGTATAAAGTAATGTGATGTTTAATGCAGAACAATTAATTACAAAAATAGGTTCCAAGAAATAATGTAAACAACACAGCATGGAACAGAATGCAATTGTGTCTATACGAATATGAAAATTATTTTAATTTGAGGATTGCAATTATTGCTATATCAGTATCAGCAAATAATAGGGATGTCATGCAATTAATTTAAATGCATTTTTTAATGAATTGTCATACCTGAATTCTTCACAAAGTAAATGAGAAATGCTTGAAAATCTGAGAGGTCCTAACACAGAGCCCTGATGTACTCCATCAGTAAGAAGAGCTGTGGTTGCCAACCTGACCAGGAATGTTCAAGGAGAGGCACTACAGGATGCATCTATCACATGCACCAAACATCCTGCTGGGAACAGATTTTTTAAATTAAAGTTTTGTTCATTTTTCTTTTGATCTATAAAGCTTTTCTCAGCACTCAGAAAATGGTTGGATGAGTCAAACCATTTTTTGCTTGTGAACAGAAGGAATTATATTATTAGGTTCTTTCTCTTTTTTATGGCATTAGTAAGCAGTGTTACTACAGTGTTTTGATCAGTCTGTTTATTATGCAGAAAGTGGTGTTTCTTTTTCTTTTTCAAATAGCTGAAAATATGGCTGCCTGCAAACAGTGGCATTTGTCCGTTTCAAGACAGACCGTCTTTGCTGCACGATCTGTCTTTGACATCATGCTATCTGAATATCTGTATCTATCTACCCTTATATAATGCATTGTTTGTATACTGAGAACAATGTTCACCGACACAATTTTGTTGTAGACGCTCTCTCTCGAAAGCCACGGAACCTTTTCGAAGGCATCGCTGTGATATCCCTGTAGCACTTCCCATGTGATGTAAAAGACATGTATAAATTGACAAATTAAACTTGTGGTCATCTTTTGAAGTTGAGTTCTTGAGAAGTGTTTCCATATAAAATATTTTTTTGAAATTATACAAACTCATGCTAATGCAACAAATTTGCAGATTGTAATAATTGTATTAAATGTAACTTGTATTTAATAATTGTAAATAGTACTTTATATTGTAGTTTGTTTTATGTATTTTTAAATAGCCATCTCATTAGCAACATAAACGTTACAATTAATGAATTTAATACAATCACATATTTGTACACATTTAAATTTCTTATTTAAAAAATTGTGCATATAAAAATTTGCATAAGCATGAGTTTTTGGGTCTGCATATTTCTTAAACTTCGATTTTTTTAATTAACCTTCAAAATGGGTAAATAAATGAGGTAAGTAATTTAATATTCAAACTTGTGTATTTACTAAATACAGGGTAAAACATTTTTTAAATGAACTGAATTTTTTACATTTCATCAAATAAGATTTTAAACTATAAATTAATGCAAGTACCCAACAGTATGCATCTTTTGGCTTTTAAAGAGCTTTATTTACAGTTCATACATACCAAGTTTGCAACCAAAGTCAAAATTTTCAACATGCTCCAACATACAGTATTCACGTGATATGACGTTAACCGAGTGTCTTTATAGCCATTTCCCTGAAGTCAATGAAACACTAAATTCCAGAGCCTTGTTGTCCAACATCATAGTCCATTATCTTATACATCATCCATACAATCATAACACAGATCCAAGATCAGGTCAGCTTTTATGGAAACGATCGATGAAGTCTTAGGCCAGTCCTTTAGGTCTCATCATAATTCATTCATACACTGTGGCTCCATAATCGTCCATTTCCATGAAAATTCCGAAGGCTAAAAAAATAAGATTTCTTTTACTATTATATTCACTACAGAGGTTTCATCTTGTTAAAAAAAGAAAGAAGGAAAGATAGAAGAAAAGAGGTCTTTGGAGAAATCCCATGTTTTTGAAGCTAGACTACCAGCTTTCCTCACAGCATTAAAAAAAAACAACAAGGTCAGATCTGAAGATCCACCATCTGATCCTGGAGTCGTAAAGAACAGCCGTATTGCTGTCCATATTCACGTCCATGCCACACCTTTTGTCTCCCAAGTCCAACGGCAAAATAATGATGAATCTGTTCTCCATCCAATCAGTTTCAGTTTCTCATTTTATTAACAATGTTTTGAACACATTCAGTTTAGTAAATGACTTCATACACAGTAGCCTTCTTATCTCCTGAGCCAGTGACAATGAATTGGTCGTCAGGAGAAATGTCACAGCTGAGGACGGACGACGATTCCTTAGACTAGAGACAAAAACAAGTATTTAGTTAATACTTTCTGGCATTAGATAGCACTGCTGATCTGTGTTTGTCTTATGTATCCTGATAAATAGAACAAATAGAAAGTCTTATTCAACAATGAACATTTATTTTTGACACACTGTGACAATAAAAGTCTCCATCATAGTGACAAAAATGGCAATTTAATTATCAGTTAAATTGTGCTAAAACTAAGCCATTTTATACTATTACACAGTGCTGGGGAAGCTGATCTGAGTAGCCTGTTGTTTGGAAAGCTAAAATTTAAAGCAGTTTAAGCTATGCTTTAAAAAGCAGTTGGCTAAACTACAAGCTAACTTGAATAGATTTCAATTAAGTAGAAAATAGTAAACACAGCATATAACTAAATATAACAATTTAAAAAGATGCACAGTGAATCAAATGAATCTAGTACCAGTACTATACCAGTAGATTTTGGAAAAAGTAGCTTGTTACTAGAAAAGCTGCAGCAGCATTTAAAGCTTACTTAATGTATTTAGGTTAGTAGTGTCACTGATTTTAGTTAATTACAACCTCAGCACTGTAGTATTTATAGTCAACAGTCACTATTATCCAAACATTACCTGGAATATGCTTGATCCATATGGAGTTCGCCATGCATTCAGTAGATTATCTTTGCCTGTGCTTACAAACCATTTTCCTGCAAAAGTTAATAGTAGTATTTCAGGTACAGTCCTTCAATTAAACAGCCATGTTTTTCTATAATGCTCAACCTTAAATTAATTTTTTTTTTTTTTTACATTTCTAAGTTAAAACAAGGTACTTTTTAAGAAGAAAAAAATAAACGTACCGCAGTAGGCGAACTTGAGCGAGAGAACACAGCTTTCATGAAGGTGCAGCTGGTATTTGTCTGGTTTGGAGACGTGCAGCACTTCCACATTACTGCTCTCCATCCCCACTGCAAGCCACTCGCCCGTAGGACAATAACCCAGAGAAAAGATCTGCATGCACAAATAAACACATTATTTCATGCTAAAAACGAACACAATTCGTTCTACCTTTGGGATATATACAACTACTTTTCCTGTGTTCCTTCTGAAATATACAACATTTCCTGTGTACCTGTGAGGTGAAGTCATGTTGCTGCAGCTGTCGGCCCTCTCTCAGGTCCCAGCAGCGCACTGTATTGTCCAGACCCCCCGTCCACAGTTTGGTCCCGTCATTGGAAATATCGATACAGCTGGCTCCATCTGTGTGACCTTGGAACTGCCTATAGAGGGCGACACAAGGGCATCACATGACTTCAGGATGAAGAACATGGTCTATCTCACCAGCAGGAGTCTGAAAATACCTGACAAGTGTCTGGTTGTGCAGGTCCCAGACCACAATGTTTCCGTCACTGCAGCAGGAGAAGCAGACCTTGTTGTCTGGACTGATGGCCAGAGCATAGCAGGCCGGAGCAGAGGACGTCAATTCGGCCTTGATTCGTGGAGTGGGCGTGGCCAAATCCCAGATGGACAGCGTGCTGGCCTCGCCCCCAACTATCAAAGTCCTTCCATCTGGAAGGAGCTTGCATGAGCGAATGTAATTGTCTCGATTCTGATCGGATAAA